GTAAAACGTATGAAATAGTGAACGTATGGAGTAGTGAATGCATGAAGTATAGTGAACGTATGAAATCATTATCGTTGCGAAAGCGATTGCTACCTGTTCGTATAACCTGTTCTCTTCCCTGACAGATGCAGACTCCTCAATAGAGACTGTTGTGCCTTCGATCTCCAGCAACCACATCGTAGCAGTCTCACTCAGATTGATGGACACGGGCTTGCTCAGGTCTGCTTCTGTTAGAACCTCTTGCTCATCATCTCTGTGATGGATGATGTCTATTCACACATAGCAAAATTGTATTCCGATGAAGGAGTGAGGGTCTGCAAGAATGTGGTGTGGTGTATGGAGGGGGGAGAGAGAAAGCTGGAGAGAGAAAGGGAGAGAGGTGGAAGACAGGAACAGAGAGAGAAGGCGAGCAGGGGAGTGAAGAACGAAGGTAACAAGGAAGAAATGCAAAAAAAATAAAGAGATTTAGACTTGTAAATGGAGTGTGGAAAATTAATAGTGTAGCAATTTTGTACGAAATCCATCATAACTCGATAACTCGACCTTCATTTATGATGTTATTAAAATTTCTCAGTACTTACTTTGTGTGTCTGGCCCACACATAGCACCCATTGAAGCACCTTCTGCATAGTCATCTTGAAACACTGAACTCATGAATGATGTTCTAGCGGTACCACTTTGATTGAACACAGATCTGTAGACAGACGTGCACACATGCTCTTTTTTTAACGTCAGCAACATGTTACAATTATTATCACTTTGTGACAGACTAGTAAGTTTGATAACTAACAGTGAATAATGATATTGTTGTGCAAAATTCTGATTTTTGTAAAGAAAGGATTTTACATGATAATCGTGTGAACTTCTAATCGGAAGTAAATAATACAGTGTTTTAGTAACTATGTATAACAAAAGTACTTACACATATATAATTACAATGATGCTGTCAAGCGCACATAAACTATGTGCTTAAATGTGCTAATGGCTCAACTTATCAAGAACACATAACATTGTACTGATTTATGCGTATTTGATGGCAATGGTACGAGTGATAAGCAAATGATCAAACAATCATATACTTTGGCTCATAGGGTCTATGTCCCCCAGGGTACTGCCGGAACGCACCCTGGTAACTATTTGATATGGTTAGGGTTAGGGTTAGGGTTAGGGTTAGTTTTAGGGTTAGGGAGTAGGCGTAGGCAGTGCCCTATAGACTCGTTAGTGGAGTAGGCGAGGTACGGTCCGGCATATTAGATAGTACCCGGGTACGTTCCGGTATACCGGACCGTACCCAGGGTACGTTCCGGCAGTACCCTGGGGGACATACTCTCTCAGCCATACTTTGAGAAGGGTCCTCCCATAACGCTAGTAGTCGTTTGATAGACGGAAGCTTGTGACATGTAGTCAGTCGGCTGGTAACACAAGATACAATAACATGTGATTAAACAGCTGTTACAGTATTACTGACCATTACGGCAGATCTCCTCTCACCTATTCAATGTTATACTCAATAAAATTTATTGTCTAAGATACTGGCTATCTACTAAGCACTGCGGATTACAGGCGGTTTGATTTTCCTATTGGCTACATCAAACATGGCAGATTTAATATATTTTGTTGTTGAATGCACACTGCAAAAACATCCCCTCTCTGAAATTTAGTTCACCTCTTTTCTCTGTGCAAGCGTTATAAAGCGGGCATATAAACGTTTTCTTTTCACCTCACAAACTACAATCTATATTTACCTAGACAGAACCTTCGTGCAAAATCGTAATTTAATGTACAACATGTACCCTTACACTAATTTACTCAGGGGAATCACTGATTTGCTCTGAAATTCGAGCCTTGTATTTACTAATGGTTACCGTTCCACTGCGGCTATCGCTGCCACCAAATATCTTGCTCTGAGTTTTCCCGACTGCCTGTCCGCTCTCGAGTTGCAACATCGGCAGTGGTGTAACATCTTTTCCATCTTCGTCAAACACCTGTTTGCATCGGTGGGCGAGTGCCAAGAATGGTAAAGCTATCAAGTAGCAAATGCACACATATATAACACCATCAGTCAGAAGTGCATAATGTAGAGATAACATAGAGACCTCTATATGATGCACTCCTGATAACATTACTAAGTACTGACACCTTTTAAAAAATCACTATTAAATTATGCCAATCGGACAAACTACAGCTGTATCGACGCAGAGTCGATGTACCTGAACAATGGGTTTAGTTGCTGCTAGCAAGTTCTTCTTACTGCCCGCCGTTGCGAGGCTTGTACGAGAGCTCCTGTAGTTACTGGATCCAATCTTTAATTGAGTGCGACTTCCTGTTGATATAACCACACTCCTCTTTCGAGCCTGAGACGAGTTGGTTGAAGCATCTTGCTGCAGAGCTGGCCTGTAGTGGAGATCATTATAGCTGACGTAGTACAACCACAGTAATGCTGAATTTTAACCCAGTCATACATTATTACATTCTGAAACTGGGGATGAAAAGATTATTTAATGTGCGGTTAATTTTAGAGCATTGATTGCCAGGACAACTACATGAATGGCATTACCATTATATGTGTTGCCAGCACAACCCTACAATCAGTTAATCTCGCCAATAAATAGCAACGAAAACAGCTAGAGGTGTTCAACAATGGTAGCATGATATGTAGCATCACCAATGCCCTAGTGATGACCAGGGTAAGCTTATAACCTCGTGAATCTCTTTCAAAGTATAAGAAACTATACCGAAGGAGAGCTAGTTTAGAACATTGAAATTGATCTAGATTAAATTGACTACGTCACGAATTTTCTATGGTCAAATTTGTAAAATTTGTGTTGCAATTTTTTACATTAAAAGTAAGAACTAACGGGACTAAACGTATCGTCAAATTCTTACCTGATAACATTGTTTCTCAACTAATTAAAAATCAAAAAAACATGGTCGATTTGATATTAGTGTTCCTGACATTAATTAATTTGCTTGCTATAGGCTATGTATGCGTCACGAGTGTATGTTCACATCGAACAATATAGTAAAATAAGAAGTATAATGCAGCAATTTAACCATAAAAAGTGAACAGAATTACTTATATTTTGTGAAAAAGTGGAAACATTTTTTTTATTTTTACTATTTACGGTGACGTAAATACTTTAACACTACAGATTGTAGTGAAATTTTTTTTTCCAATTAACTATAGGAGAATTCCAATATGGGATGACAGAAACGAAGCGGATAAACTTGAAATGATCCTTTAGAGATGGTACATATCGGATAATCGATAAGGTAATCAATAAACACTCGGATAATCGAAGTTATGAATAGGCTTCATTAAGCAGAGGGCATGCCAATCTTCACCTTCAGGACCATGATAAATTTCATGAGAGTTGATGATAAGTTTTACATGAAGAAAGAGGAAACAAAGATGAAGCCAATCCAAGTCGAGTCAAAACAACTTAGGAACTATCATGATAGATTTTGGATACCTCACACAGCTTTATGCTGAATGGAACCTAATTTATAACAATGCTCACGTGTATAGGGGCACAAGCCTGGCCATGCATAAACTAATATGGGAAGAACTATAGTTTCCAGCTAGGGACCGAGTTTTAGAATTTACAAAGATAAGGTTGTGACGTACACATAACATACCCAAAGAACGAGACACTGTCTTACAAATGTATATATATACTCCAGCGAAGATCTGTATATATATTGTTTGTAAGATTTGTAAATATAGCAGGGCTTGAAACTAACCTAAAATCTTCACAAGCCAACAGAGCTAGTGAATTGTAAACTCTATTAACCCCTAATTCTCTGGAGTGAGGTGCTGAAATGCCATGGCAAGCAAATATAGCTGCCCACAGGAGGAGAGTATGAAGGGGTGAATCTGGTATGAGCCTGAGGAGTGGGGCCTGGAGCCCCAGAGCAATTTTGATTTTAGACTGTCCGAGACGCATTCCGAATCTTGCAACTTGTGTGAACGGGTGAGCATGGGATAGACTATTGGACTATTGTGAGTCAGTATTTTAGAACAGGTGTGATGTGAAACATATAATATAATGATCGAAGTGGCTGGAGGTATATACGGCAGCCGTCGTTCGTTGAAGCCCCTTTTTGGCGTTTGTTTGAGGGCTGAGACAATTATTTGCGATCTTCTGATGTAAAGGTTACAATAATGTTCATTTTCATACATAATCCGAGTGTTTTATAACTTATCAAAACTCTCAAATCGTGAATTCATTTCCCAAGGCATTATTTAGAAATCTGTAGCCATCCACCGCCATCTTTTACCTAGTAGGTACCGCTTACGAAGCAAGGCTATATTGGTGCGCACCAAGTTAACTCTGTGTCTGTACGCAATCGCTCCCTACCTCGCTCTAAGTTGCGCAATGCGCATGCGCATAGCCTTATTTAGGTCACGTACGCACGCTCGCTGTACGTCGCTGTCTGTGGGGTGACGTGGCGAGCAGGGAACTGAGCGGTGGGAGAACCAATGACTTAATTGATCATACTTAGCCCGCTTCAGAGTTTTGTGTCTGTACGCTTCTAGTTAGCGCGAGTTAAGGTAGCGCGCGTCTAACGTGCGCTAAAATTCGTTGTCTGTACGGGGTATTTGTCTCATGATTTGTATGAAAGCGAATGGACTGCCATAACTCCAGCCTCGTAAATTGGGGATACGATACGTAGCTCTAGTACTATATAGTAGTACTATATAGTAGTACTATATAGCCAGTCTGCGAAATTAACCACTGGCCCGGTATCCGAGGCCAGTAAATTTTCCGTGGGGCCAATGAAACTGGTAAAGGAACAAGCCCGATGGGCCAGTGGAAAAAAATGGAGTAAATGGTCTATTAATGATATTTCAGCTTCTTTATGTGATCAGTCTGAGAATTTACCGAAATTCCCGATATTTTGTATGAAAATTACCAATATTTACCGATAGGGCATCATATTCCCGATCTTAAGTAGGGGAAGTAACTATAGTCAACACCATGCGTGTTTGTCGCCGCTAGAGGTCGCAACAACTTCCGGTTTCCGGTCCGGTTCGCTTTCTCTTTTTATAATATGATGATCATTGATTCGGGCCTGTAAAACCTAGTGTGGGCCAGTGAATTATACATTTCTACAGGCCCATTGGGCCAATGAGGGTGGAAGTTTTTCGTGCAGACTGTATAGCCATTTGCTCCGCTGCATGAGGAGCCCTTTCCCCTGCGGCGGAGCGAAGGGCAATAGTACTAGAGCTACGGATACGGCTGCCGTACCTCCAGCCACTGCCTATATAATACGAAGTGGCTAAATGCCCAGCAGTTTTTAATTTTCGGTGATTTCTCAAGTAAACAGTGTACTACGTGCTCCAATAAAAGTATTCTACATTTGTTTAGAAATGTCATCCTATCCAATCACCGTCCTGGACATCATCTCTATCCTTGAACCGAAAGTCATACCGGTACCCCAAGTTAATTGTTACCCTTTTCTCAGCACGAGTAAAGATACTCTGCACTAGAGGGCTAAGCGAGCATCCTTATTCACTGTTACTTAGGCTCATATAGGGTCTATGTTCCCCAGGGTACTGCCGGAACATAACCTGGGCACGGTCCGGTATACAGGAACGTACCTACCTACCCTGGTAACTATCTGATATGGTTAGGGTTAGAGTTAGGGAGTAGGCGTAGGCGACTCCCTTCCCTAAACTCGTTAGTTGAGTAGGCGAGGTACGGTCCGGAATATTAGATAGTACTAGCAGAGCATATATATCACGTTGATTTATATGCTCTGGTACTAGGGTACGTTCCGGTATTATATACCCGGGCCAGGGTACGTTCCGGCAGTACCCTGGGGGACCCTCTCTCAGCGTTACTTATAGTGTTAGTGAAGCTGAGAGGGTCTATGTCCCCCGGGGTACTGCCAGAACGTACCCTGGGTACGGTCCGTTATACCGAAACGTACCCTGGTACTATCTAATATGCCGAACCGTACCTCGCCTACTCCACTAACGAGTCTAGGGAGTCACCTACGCCTACTCCCTAACCCTAACCCTAACCCTAACCCTAACCCTAACCATATCAAATATGCAAGCGCTCTAACCGTTGCGCTGCTGCCACATATTGAAATTAAAATTTTGGATGTGCTATGTATATCGCGAGAAAACAAGCTCAACCAATCAGGCGTCAGTACCGTCAGTACCGTCAGTACCGTGACTTTAAGAGAAAAATAATCGGCGACGGTACCGTCCGGATGGGATTCGATCCCGCGACCATTCATACTTGGCTTTTTCTAATTATTTTCCTGTTTTCTGTATTTTTCTATCTTTATCTGTTTAACATTTTTTTTCCAATTAACGCAAATATTTACATTATTTATTTACAACATTTTAATAACAACAATTAATTTTTACAACAATTAAAAATTAAATTTTATTAATTTAATAGAGTTAGGGTTAGGGTTAGGTTAGGGTTAGGGTTAGGGTTAGGGTTAGT